ATCTCTTGGGGGTCGTTTGTTAACAATTTTTATTTTATTTTATTTTATGTTTTCGTTTTCATTTTTTTAAAACTGAAAACGAAACTTATTTGGTATATTATTTTCGTTTTCAAAAAAATAAAATTGATTTTAAAATTTTTAAAAAATTTGAAAACACAAAAAAATATTTTCACTTGATTTTAATACAAACTTTGCCTTTCTCCACTCACTCTCTACCTTCAACTATCACCACCACCACCGACTACCGCCACCCCCGCTGTTGGTGGGTGGCGAGCTTTGACCAATCTTCGACTGCTTTCCAACAGGTGAACAGTCATGTCATGATCTTCGCTTACCTTATGTTTTCTAATGACATTCGACCACTAACTCTGTGCGGACACCTTCGGTTACCTATTGCTACTGGTCACCACACTAGTCCACCCTCCATTTCTAGCCACCAAATCTAGCAACTCATCAAATATATTTCACTATTTTTTTATATTTTAAAAATATTTTTGTAGAATAAAAATAAACAAAAAATCTATATCTTATTTTTTGTATTTGAGGATTATATATTTTAGTCAAAAAGTCTAAAAATCATTATAAGTTGTCATATTACTCTCTATTTTTTAATATATTTTTTTTATAAAAAATAAAAAATTATTAAAATAACTTATTTTTAAACCAGACCTGAAAACTGAAACAAACTAGGTGTTAATAACACCTCCATGCATCACCACAGCTATGGCTGACGATCAATTAATAACTCTCGACCAGTGGCAAAAAAATTACATTGTATTTGGTTTAGTTTTGAAAGATGAATTTTTGAAAAGAATTTTAAAATTTATTTAGCTGTATATCTTGAAAATAATTTTATAATTTGAAATTCAATAGTTTGGGATAAATTTTTTTTTTTTGTAATTGAATAGATGAGTGTGAGAAAAAATTTGATTGATTGATGTGTAAGATGTGAGAAAAAGAGAGATGAGATAAAAAAGTGATTGAAAATAATTTTGAGAAAATTGTAAACCAAACAAATTTTTATTTTTGAGCTCTAAAAAATTATTTTAAAAACTAAACCAAACAAGACGCTAATGGTGCAAATTCAATCCAGTATTTTATGCAATTCTTCTGATGTATTAGAGTTGCACTAAAAAAAAATTTTACTATTTGTAATACATGATAAATTATAAATACATATTTTAAGATTTTTTTAAAATATAGATTGTTCCTGTAATTTAAAAAATTATAAATATCCCATTGTCAGAATTTCTTATTTGACATAATTAATTAAAAAAATAAAATTCATAATTACTCTTCTATATAATAATAAAATTATCTAAATAATTAAGTTGAAACATATTTATAATATCATTAAAAATTATTAATTACCTTCATGATTTATTAATAAAAGAGATAATTTCTTATGAAATTAAAAATCTCAGGGATAAAATATAATTTTCAAAATTACAGAAAGTAATTTATATTTTAATCAAATCTCAGAGGTGTATTTATAATTTATCTTATAATATAATTATTTTATGACTGTCTTAATTATTTATAATGGGCAATGATAGAAACCACTAAAAGTTGTGCTATAAAGCATCCACTAATGATGAGGCATCCATTTAAAAAAAAAAAAGACACAACAAGCAATGGGTGGGACCTACTGCCACATCATTAGTGGTGACACTAATTAGACTTGTTTTGGGAAGTTGGCTTTTAGCCACTTTTTTTGGTTTGTAGCAAAAGCCAAAAGTTGACTTTTTTGATTTTTTTTTTTTTTCATTTCGGAAGTTGGTTTTTAGCCAATGGTAAAATTACAATTTTGCCCCTTATGGGTCAAATGTATTACATGAGTGAAGTTATAAATATTTTAAATTAAATGAGAGTAGTTTAGTCATTTTATTATGATTTGACATCATAAACAAATATTAATAAAAAAAGTCAAAAGTCATTTTTTATCAACTTTCCGAATCATTTATCTAAAAAAAGCAAAAAATTTGGTTAAAATTTAAAAAGTCACTTTTTACCATATTCCAAAATAGGCCTAACTCTCACTCATTTTCTATTTATAATTTCTCGGCGTACTTTAGCAGCAAACGCCACGTCACCGGAAACCCAAGCGCGACACGCGTCCATTGGCTACACATTTTTTCTTTCTTTCTAGGGTTCGAGTCAGCGTAAATCTAAACCTGCGCTAGTCTCCCCTGTTTGGCTCGTTTCTTTCCTTCACTTCCCGATTTCTGGCGAACTAGTTAAAATCAAAACCCTCTCTTTCTCTCTCTAAAAGTATCTCTCGGAGTATATCCCCGTCAATGGCGCCTGCAAAACCCTAATTCTAGTCCGCCGCCTTTGCCTCTTCAAGCAACAACACCATAGAGCCCGAAATTTTCTATCATACCTGTAAGTACTTCCAAAGTGAATTGATACACACACACACACACACACACACATATATTATGGCAATCATCGCACAAACGTAGATGAATTTGAATTCGTTGGTAATTTGTGCCGTGCTGCGTCAAAAGATCAAATTTTTGTAGATTTTTGTTTGGTCTTGTAGCTTTGTTTATTGAATATTGTGTAATTCGGTTGGTGATCTTGTTGGTTACTGAGAAACTGAGGAGCAGAGAGGAAAAAACTGAAAAAACTCTTGAGTTCCGAAGAAAATGGGGGACTGAGTGTGTGATTGAATCACAACGTTGGAAATCTTGAAGAATTGATTTTTGTTCTGATATAATTTCATTTGGTTTCTCAGTAGCCAAGCGGAGCTTTCAAGATTAATGCCACGAACTGGGTTTTCTGCGTATATTGCTTGTATGTAGTTGTCTTTATTGCAGTATTGGAAATTCCAGGGTCAGGTGGGTGTTTGATTTTTAGGGCTTCGAAGGTCTTTTGGAATTGATTGGTGTTGATAGAAGCTTGACAGAATTTGCACTTTTCTGCAACTTTACTTTGGAATTTTGGTGGGTGTTGTGCCGTTTCTGAGGTAGCTCTTGTCTTCCTCACTAATGGCAGAAGACGGCCCTTGGATTAGTGGGCTTTCTTCTGGATTGGCTGTGGTATTGAACGGTGATGACGGTGGAGCGAGTTCTCAGAAGAACCGTCTCATTTCTTCTTGTAACGATTTTGGTGACCAGTCTGTGGAGCGAACACTCGAACACATTTTTGATCTCCCTTGCAAAACAATTAATCCGCTGACATGTCCACTTGACACTAGTGTAGTTCGTTCCATAATAAAGAATGAGTTCATGAAGTATCATGCAAATTTGGACATGGTCATCAGAAATAGGGATGGAGTCTCTGCTACCGATGATGGTTGTGGACCACTTATTGTTGCAATTGAAGAATCTAGCATCTGTGGTGATTTTCGAATTGTCAAACCGCCTCTGCTTCTGGAAAGCCAAGCCATGTTTAGTAGTGCAAGGGCCAATTTCTGTGTATGGAAAGGGAAATGGATGTATGAAGTGATTCTTGAAACTTCTGGCATACAACAGCTTGGATGGGCAACTTTGTCTTGCCCATTCACTGATCATAAGGGTGTAGGAGATGCTGATGATTCTTATGCATATGATGGCAAAAGGGTTAGTAAATGGAATAAAGAAGCTGAGCCTTATGGTCAGTCATGGGTTGTTGGTGATGTAATTGGATGTTGCATAGATTTGGACCATGATCAGATATCATTCTATAGGAATGGTTCCCCCCTTGGGGTAGCATTCAGTGGCATTCGCAAGATGGTGCCTGGACTGGGGTATTATCCGGCCATTTCTCTTTCTCAAGGGGAACGGTGTGACTTAAATTTTGGGGCTCGCCCATTTAAATACCCAATTAAGGGTTTTCTTCCCATGCAAGGTCCGCCATCTACAAGCCTCCTCGCTACTAATTTGCTGGATTGCTTATCGAGGTTATTGGAGATGCAACGCATGGAGAGGACAGAGTTCAGTTCTGTTGAGAAATTCAGAAGGTTGAAGAGGTTTGTGCCATGTGAAGAGCTTTTCTACCCTGTCTCTCGTGGGATATGCGAGGAGTTTTTCTCTGCACTTGATGCAGATGTGGTGAGCATAGAGTACATAGGGTGGGGTCCACTTCTGTCTTTCATAATGGAAGTCTTTGGGGGGCATCCTCCACATGATTATATATGTTTGGATAGGGTACTTGATCTCTTACTAGAGTTTCAAAGGTCAAGACTGATGTTCGAGCATATCATAAATGCCCTCTCATGTGGTTGTAAAATAGCGGCACTGGTTCTGACAGAGTGCCCATACTCAGGATCATACCCCTATCTTGCATTGGCCTGTCGCATTCTCAGACGGGAAGAATTGATGGCACTCTGGTGGAAATTGGAAAATTTTGAATTCTTGTTTGAAGGGTTTCTATCAAGGAAGAATCCCAACAGGCAGGATCTTCAGTATCTGATTCCTTCTGTTTGGTGGCCTGGTTCATGCGATGATATATCCTATGAAAGTAGCATGATGCTTACTACCACAGCCTTATCTGAAGCACTCAGTAAGGTATGCCCTTTATGTGCGAACTAGTATGTTCAGCTACATAGATTTAACCTTTTTCTTGTTTCAATTCTCTGTGGGTTTTGGTTTATCTGATCTAATCATGCATGCAATGCTACCCATCCATGCAGTGGTTGAGAAGATAGTGAAAAGAGATGAGAGAAACTTATTGGAAACACTAACTGATGAAGTTATGGGCAAGAAGAGTTTAACTAGGCATGTATTGTTCTATAAATTAAAAATTGAATGGAAAATATAACTCATCATATAATTTTTCGTACAACTTATTGTCTCAAGCCCCTGTTATGCCTAATTCTTGAACATGAATTATTGTGTCAAATCATTAGAAAATTAATTAAACAAAATCTGCAATTGCCCTTTTGTTTATATGTAATTGTTTATGATTTCTGTAGGGTTCTATGTTCTTAATAAGAGGTGGTTCATTTTAGCTATGAAGCATGTATACAGGCACTGGTGTGGGCTAAGAAGCATGACATGTCATGTCCAACATGACACGATGTGACACTCATTGAACAGTTCCCAACACTTAGATACACATGAAACAAAGCAATATACCTTGCCACAGAGCATTACGTTCATTGGGATATCTCCATAACCACTTTCCGTGCAAAGAAATATACCTTGCCATAATGTTACCGATGGCAAGACCCCCTTTATCTTTAGGGAGAGAGACAGTTTCCCAATGCTCAATGTTAATGATGGCAAGCTCCCTCTATCTTTTTGCAGTCTTGTGTCTTTACATTTAACAAGAATGTGTGTAAACTTTCACTAGTTATTTGAAATTTTGTTTGAATTAGTTGTTGTTGAACGCTTGGGTGTCCTGAATGCACTTTGTCTTGCTGAAATGTAAATGGGTCATCATTTATCTATGTAGTGATCTGCTTCTATTGGAAAATACTAGTAGACATTAGACATTGGTGTTAGCTGTTCAAAATGTGCATAATTTGTTTGTTCTGCAAGATTTTTGAATGGTTTGCTATTTGGCGTTATGGTGCATCATGATTCATATTAGCAACTTGGCTCACTTGACTTTCCTGGATTTTTGGATGTTCCATATTGTAGATGGAATAGTGGAAAATAGTAGTAGAAATTGGTGCTAGCTGTGGCTACATACGCATCATTTGTTTGTTCTGCAAGAATTTTGAATAGTTTTCTAGTTGGCATTATGGTGCATCATGTTTCATATTAGCAACTGGAGCTCTCCTGATTTTCATGTTGTAGCAATGGAATGGCATAGGAGTTAATTTGTGCCTAACTGAAGTTGTTGTCTTTTATGTCTATAACCAGTAACAAATGTGTTCTGTTTTCAGATTGAGGAGAAGCACAGGGACCTTTGTCGTTTAGTCATGCAGTTCATACCGCCTACAACACCTTCTCAGTTGCCTGGTTCAGTTTTTAGGACATTTTTGCAAAACCTTCTGTTGAAAAACAGGGGAGCAGATCATAACCTGCCTCCTCCAGGGGTTTCTAGCAATTCTGTTCTTGTTTCATTGTTTACAGTTATACTTCATTTTTTATCAGAAGGCTTTGCTATGGGAGACATCTCTTGCTGGATGAAAGGATGTGGGACCAATGTGGGACCTGATGTTGGTTTTCTCCACAGAGGTGGCCAACAAAGCTTTCCCATAAGCTTGTTTCTAAAAAATGATCCCCATCGAGTCGACATTTGTAGGCTTGGAGGATCATTCAGTCATCTAGCGAAATTGCATCCTGTAATTGGGGACCAGGAAGCAGAAATAATTCGGTGGGAGGAAGGATGTATGGATGATGAAGAAACCAAAGTTACACATTCTAGTAGGCAGAAGCCTTGTTGTTGTTCTAGTTATGACATTAATTTTTCAAGTATTTCGAAAAATCCGATCAGACACACAACCAAAGGCTTGCAAAGCCATTGTAGCTCTATTCCAGAGAGTTCTGCTCGTGTTGCTACAGATTACAGTACTGGAAATTTGAATGATGAGATAACAGATAAACCCAGCACGAGTGACCAATCTGAATCTGAGTTTGGTTATCGGCCAGTGCATCAAATGAGGATTATACCAATGGAGAGTTATTTGTCTGCAGCAATGCTGAAAGAAGAGGAGCTTCTAGATGCTATGCTTTTGTTGTATCATTTGGGTCCTGCTCCAAACTTTAAGCAGGTAAGATAATATTTTCTTATAAAATAATTTTTATTGTTAAATACACTCTCTCTTCTGGCTTTGGGTCTTAATAATCTGTTTGAATTTTGGAATTGTTGTATGTGATACATGGATATGCAGTCTCATTACATAATAATAGATGTGGGATAGGAGATTGGCGAAAAGAGTGGAATATTGAAAGCAGAAGAGGAACACCTATCAATCAATTTGCTGATAACCACTTACTATACTCATAATAGGTGATTTATAGAGTGTTAGTTGTGCCACTGTTGGTCTGTCAACCATGCGATTGTTCTTGGTTATTATCATTTGGAAAGCAAATCACTTGTATGCATTGTTTTTATTTTATCATTGGATTCCAAGTTATTTTCATCAAACTTGCAATGTGCTTCATATTTGTCTGATGGATACATGTGTCCACCCAGTGTCCAAAGCATATGTGGTTCCAAAAAAAATTAGAAAATAATAGGACATGTTTGTACTCATTTCAGACATCTGTCTAGAGTGTTTAAGGTATCTGGTGTGTCTGAAAAGTGTTGGCGTCTGACCTGAATGCAGACCCTTCTTAGAAGTCTCTGTGCTTAGATTTTTCTCTTATGTTATTTGCCTTTAATTGTCTACTGGTGCTCAATGGGTTGCAAGCTTTCCTACATTTAAGCAATTGAAGTTTTATTTGTTTTTCTTTTTTCCTTCTTGTTGGCCTTAAGCTTTGCAACACAGTTTTGGTACTGGTAAAGTTTACCTGCTGGTGGAATATATATGATTAGTTTTTGTCTGAAATGCCATATCACAATCTGAAATGTGTCATTTACATTGTAGGCATCGTCTTACATGTCTCGTCAATCACACTCAATATCTTTATTGGAAGAAACTGATAAACAAATAAGGGAACGAGCTTGTGGAGAGCAACTAAAGCGCTTGAAGGAAGCTCGTAGTGTTTATCGAGAAGAAGTTCGGGATTGTGTCAGAAATTGTGCATGGTAAGATTATTTTTCTGGAATTTTTTATAATTGTTTTAGACTTATGTCTATTGTTTTACATGCATCTCCTCCTTACCTGTCATTTTCATATATTCAATGTGTTTTTTGATCCATTCCTCCTGGAATTTTCTTCCCCCCTTGCTCACTATATGAAAATTTCTTATTAAAACATTCTGACATCAAGCACTACAATGCAATTTTAATTCTACTTCAAAGTCCTCGTGTTGCACCCATTTTGCCAGTTTTTTAAAGTGGTTGATGAATAGTTTTTAACTTTATTTATTTATAAAAAAAATTCTGCTTTATTAATTTGATAATTTGCAATTTATGTTCAGTGTTCTGTGTTTTCTGTGCTTGCAGTTCATCTTGTATAAGAGCCATTTCTTTTTATTTTTACTGAAATGCAAGTTGATTGGGATTTCATGTTGTTGCTAATTTATTTGAATCTTTTGGAAAGAATTTCTTGATCAAGATGCACTCAGTCTTTCATCATGTTGAATACGCTCCAAGTTATGAGCTTTCTCTAAAGTGGATTGTACAGATGAGGGAATTTTTCTCAGAATTGTTCATTTATTCAGTTTTAGATAATTAAATTTTGCACCCTACTCGGCTTTCATTTAATTGTGAATTACCTTTCTTAGCTCCAAAGCATAGCCATGTTTTCAAGTGAAGAATATTTTGATCTATGTGGCAGTTTAGGATGGCTGTTGTTGTACAGACAACTATACTTTAGTGCCAGGGATGCCGAGGTTTGTGATTAACTAGTAGTCTTGTAGTAGCTAATTTCTTAAGACAGTTGATGGTTTCTTTCTTTTGATTTACCCTTTTTCATTCACCCCCACCCCCTATATGTATATATTTGTGTCACTGAATGAATGGACATATATATTGTCTGTTCTACCATCATGAACAGGAAATCAATATGATCTTTCTATCAGAAGTACCATTCTAACTGCTAATTAGAATGGTGTAGTTACGCAGGATTTGTGTAGTTGTTACCCAATGGTTGCAAGTGTTCGTTAGAGGAAAGCTAAAGTGCACAGAAGCTTTTAACAGTATGAGAATACATATATATGAGACAAATGGTTGGTCTCACATGTATGGGTATGTGGGGTCAGCCATTTGGGACCAACCACTCTATGAAAATCTTTTGTGTTTATGTTATTAGAATTTTACGATTCGCGATTCGATTTGCAATTTTTGCAAAATCGATACAAATCTATGAGTAAATCTATTTTGGTATGAATCGCACGATTCACAATCGATTTATGATTCGATACACTTTTTATGATTCATACAATTATTGAAACTATTGTATCCGACATACTTCAATTCTTTTTTTCTCTCCCTTTTTAGTGAAAATGACATAAATACAACTTCTAACAGTGTTTGGTACAAAACTAACCAATGCATATATATATATGATTTGTTATTATTTTGGTGATCATGAAAGTTAATAGAATCCAATCAGATTTAGTCAGACCCAACATTTTTTAACATTTTCTTCTCATTTTTTTTTTAAAATATCTTTTAAAAATGTTTAAGGTTAAAGTAACTTGCACCATAAGTTATGTATTGGTATTTTATTGAAATAAATATAGTTCAATATTACATGGGTGAGCTCAGGTAAACCTCCACAATATATTTATTTTTTTAAAAAACTTTTTTGAACAATAAGCATATATACCTTTTAAAATGTTTTTTTGTTTTAAAATAAAGGTTTCCATTTAATTATTTCTTATTATTGGGTCATTGTTACTTGGAAAAGTATGTATGCTTATTGTTCAAATATCAATATCATTGTTAAGTTATTGTTATTTGAAAATTGAGAGTTTGTCTATGTTTATTTTCTTTATTAAGAACAGTCGATAAGCAATATCTAAAAAAAGGAAAAGGGAAAATGGTGATCTTACATGGGCACTTGCATCAACTTCTTACCTATTAGATCATGTGATCATCATTCAAAACAATATTTTTATTGATGTAAGTCTAAAGACTTCATATTTATAAGATATATTTAACATCTAAATGTGTAGATATATTTTTCTAAGTAATATAGAAAAACTGAGCTAATCTTTACGATTCATGATTACGTACAAGGCCATTTTGATTCACGATTTGAATCCTGATTTGACAACTAATAATCCTGAAGCTTGCTTTCATAGTTACTGGGAAAAACAATATTGGTATTACATAAACACATTTTAAATGAAGAAACCATTCATTGTTAGGTTTGAGAAGCTTCGTTTGATACTTTTTGTACTTAACAAAAAAATTCAAAATTATTATTGTATTTATGCTCTTTATTTCCTTTTGTTCGCTTTGTTTTGCCTTACAGGTACCGTATCTCTTTGTTTTCACGATGGAAGCAAAGAGGGATGTATTCAGCATGCATGTGGCTTGTTCAATTGCTTCTGGTTGCGAGCAAAGTGGATTCAGTGTTCCTCTATATTCCGGAATTTTATCTTGAAACTCTGGTAGATAGATTATTCCTCCCTTACCTCCAGTGAGATCATTCAAATTACCATTTTGACATTTTTCTGCTACAAGCTAATAATATGAGCTCTTATTCTATTTTTCTAAAACCTAACATTTGCATTCTTTACTTATGTTGAACTTGTTGCAAGAACATATTGAATTAGTCTATCGAGGCACTTAGAGAAGTCTTGGAATTGTATGTAGATGTATTAGTTATCACTTAATGGACCGAACTCCATATTGAGATTTCGGAATATCTACCATGCTCAAACATGACTCATATTCTTTGAGATAACTAAGTAGTTGACACTCAAAGTACCCCAAATAGAAGGGATGCTAAAAGACTCTGCCATCATCATGGTAGCTATGGTCAATACTAGACTCTGATCTGGAAAAGATTAAGCTGTGCATATCACCATTGCATCATCTTCCTTTGAAATTTTACCTGTTCACAATTATTCATGAATAATTTGATAATGTCCTTGGACACCTTTTGCTATTCATTGCAGACATCTACTACACCTACTTTGGCCTTGTATTCTTCTCTAGTAATTTTCTTCTTGAGTTTTCATTTGTTACTCTTCTATGCTATTGCAGGTTGACTGCTTTCATGTGTTGCGTAAGAGTGATCCTCCATTTGTACCTACTGCAATATTTATCAAGCAAGGACTTGCTTCTTTTGTACGTCTCGATTATTCTTCTCTCTGTTTGTCATGCTTTTCTCTAATTTGTTTGGCCAGATAGTATCATTATGCAAAATATGGATATATATGGGCCATAGTGTCCGAGTTGGTGCTTAATCATTCAATTGTTAAATTAAATGCATTCATTAGCATTTACCTATTGGGTTCATAATGTTGTATGATTTCTTGGTGGAAGCTCAAAACTGGCAGCTTGCTGGGGTTTTAAAATTAGCTGTTGGAGGGATTGGATAACAACTAGTTTAGGATTTTAATGGTTAAGTTGATGGTTGGGTTTAGAGCTTGATTGGGACGGTTCAGGGCTGAAATCTGGATTTTTCTATGGTTGTGAATAATAATATGAGAACAGTAGTTGAGTGTGCAAAAAAGGAAAAGGAGGACAAAAAGGAAGAAGCGCTTTGCCCTCACAAGAGCTATACAAATTGACACAAGCATAATCTTGAATTCTCATATATTCTAGTTTGCACTTTGTAAAATAGAACAATAACATAGATATTTACACACAGCTAGACATCTGTTAATTTCTCTAGAACTGTAACTTAATATTCGGAAATTAAGAAACTTTGTTGAAGTGGAATATTCTAGATGTAAACGTGGCTCAGCATCCTATCCATGGACCCATTGCATAGTGCATGTCCAATAGATTGCAAAATTATCAAAGTAACATTCACTACTAAAACCTAATGAAGGATAAATAAAATTTTCTAGCAGCATCCTTGATCAAAAGGCCTAATGAAGGATAAATGAAGACTAAAGATTAATAAAAAAAGCCTATGCACATGGTAGCTTAGTTTTGGAGAAGGGTTATAACTCTTTCTTTTATTCTCTCTTTGTATATGGACAACATCTGCTTGGCATCCTTTGATAATATATCTTTACTTAACAAAGACTTCATTCCATGGTAGTCAAAACATGCTTTTTTGTGAAATACCAGATTTGCTTCTTTTCTTGTTGGCGTACTCAACATCACCACATAGGAGTAAGAATGTGGTGAATACATCTTTCTGGGGTCTGTTCTGTTCACAATGGACCTGGTATTGTGAGGCATGCCATATGGCTGTTCCCTGTTAGTAATTATGCATAGGACATTTCAAGGGGATGGTTGAACTTGGATGTCTGTCAATCATGCATATGACAGGGAAAATAGACAAATGACGTGTAGACTGAGTGGAATTGAATTGTCCTGGGAAATTTCTCTTGATAAACATTGAGAGGTCAAATATGGGATCAAAGGGGTTTGGTATTATGGAGTATTCGTCCATCTCTTTGTGTGGGAAAATTGTCAGGACAGAGCTGGTTGCTTCTCATAATTTTGTTAGACTTTACATTCTTGTGGATCTTGTCTGGTTGACACTTGAGGATTTTGACTTGAAAATGCATCCATAATTGTGTCAGATGAATGGTAGAAGGAACAAAATTTTCTCTATGCATTCTTTCTACTTAAATTTCTTGGAATCTGGAATCATCTTATCAAAGGGTACCATTTTGTGAAATTCTTCATATACTCTCTCCATCTCACATTACTTCATTTTTGGTAGTCCCAATTTGAGCAAAGATTCAAAAGTTAGAACATTTGATCATCATTTTCCATATTACCCCTTTTCCAAATTTATATTCAAATACTATACAAATTCCCCAAATGTTAACCAAATTAGATAAATGGCATTTTTGTAAGCTTTTTGTTCAAAGTTGCTTTTCTTGAAAAGTGTCCATGGTCAACCATGTCACACAAAATGGTACGGTGTAATATTAGTTATGGTGTGGAGTTTTTCTGTTAGAACGGTTATTTGCTATGTTGTTTGTGGCACTTGAAGTTTGTGGGTTATAAGAAACTTGTCATGTAATTATGTTGTCGCATGCTATAATTTTGAAACTATAATAATGATTTATGCATTTATTTTGGAAATTCCTAAATTTATGTGTTACTAGTATGCTATTGCTTGGGGGCACAATTCACTAAATAGGTATTGCATGCTATAATTTTGAAACTATTCTAATTTATGCATTTATTTTGGACTTCCGAAATAAATTTTGGTGTTAATAGTATGCTGCTGCTTTTCTAAATACGTACCATAAGAATATCAAATTTAGTCAATTACTGTGGAGGCTAAAGTTGTGTTTGGGATGTCTCATTAATCAGGTTACTTTTGTTGTCACCCACTTTAATGATCCGAGGATATCAAGTGCGGATTTGAGGGATCTTCTTCTCCAATCTATTTCTGTCTTGGTACAGTACAAGGAGTTTTTGGCTGCTTTTGAGAAGAATGAAGCAGCCATCCAGAAAATGCCAAAAGCATTGTTGTCAGCATTTGATAATAGATCCTGGATTCCTGTAACAAATATACTTCTGCGATTGTGCAAGGGTTTTGGCTTTGGTTCTTCAAAGCATGGAGAGTCATCTTTATCATCAGTTGTTTTCCTGGTAAACTGAACATTGTGTTTTGGTTCTGGAGTTTTTTTTTCCCGCCCTGAAGTTAATTATGGAGTAACGTCCAAGCTTAACATTTTTGTGGATGTGGACTTTTTTGTTTTTGAAGAGAGTGCTACGGGAGGCTTGCATTCATGATGAAGAGTTATTCTCAGCTTTTCTCAATCGTCTATTTAACACCCTCAGCTGGGCAATGACTGAATTCTCAGTTTCAATTCGAGAAATGCAAGAGAAATACAAGGTAGGCTGTTCATCTTTGGCTAAATAATGCTATTTTAGAAATTAGAAGTATATAATATCATGTCATGTCTAACTGAGCTTTTCCAAGCATCCAGCATTTGATGCTTGTGCAGTAATTATGTTTGACTTTTATGTCTCTACCTTTTTTCATTGATAACCTATGTTACATGGAACTAGGTAGTGTATTGGGTGAGGGCGTATGTCTGCTCTCAAACCTCTTCCAACCCCAAATAGTAAAATACTGTGCGATTTGGCTTGAATTATGTGCAAAAGTTAGGTATGATTTCATGGAAATGTACTGCACTCTTAAATACATTATATTAGATTTGTTTGATTTTAATTGTTTTTAGTGAAGGTATGATGATATGGAATAGAATTTAAATTAAATGGGATGCGGTGGGAAAAATGGTTTTCTATTTGTCTCTCCATCTGTGCTTCTTCACATGGAAAGCCTTGGTAGGGTTCAACTTGGATTTGTGTAACAGGCTGATTTCCCATACATCCATATCTTGTTGTCTTGAGAACTTTGTTTTTATTATATATATACATTAAGGGCATAAAACTTTAATGTAATTATGTAATCCAGTTGGTATCCTACATTAAAACATTTTTATTATCGAGTAATGTGTCAATATGTGCAGCGATTATTACACAAAGAAGGAATGTGACGACTCTGGTTTGATGGAGCACTTTGATAAAGGTAAAATGTAGGAGACTGGAGATTACCTGAAGGAGTGTGGGTGGGTCTAGGGACTGAATAGATAGATACATGGAATAGATTGCGGATTGGCACAATGGTAAGGCTAAGTCAATGAGGTCAATGATAAGCATTGAACCTCTGTTGGATGGGATGGCAGCAAGATCACAGAACCGTTTTTAGCCAAGTAACCATTTGGTTAAGCTTTTTGGGTTAGCTTTTTTGGGAGTCAGTGAACTAAAATGCTCAGCTTCTAGTGTCTGCTTTGTGGGCCAAAAAGATGCCTTTTCCAAAACTGGGCCAACCCATCTTCTTGGGAGTCAGCAGTTGGGTATAGGTAGTGCAGCTGCCATATGGATCTGTATCACACTTAAATTTGACCCTTTGCCTGTTTCAGTGAGATTTGTTAGCTGGATATTAAAGAGATTCCTATTTACTGTTTAATCACATGACCATTCCTGCATTCTAGTCTTATGTTTGGGGTTTCTGCTACTTCGATACCCAGACTAATGCAGTGTAGGACCTGTTTAATTATCCTCCGGGTGATTTGGTATGCCTATATTTTGGATATAGAAGTGTGAAGTTCTTTTTCTGGGAATGCTTCAGGTTCCCTCTGCTATTCTTTATTTAAATTTTTTTTTTGTTGGGGGTTGGGGAGATAAGGTTGGAGATGCTGTTATCACACTCTATATTGTAGAAAATTCATCCCTTGGCCAAAGGCAAAAGTTTGAGAGCTAGTAGTAGTTAATCATTCTTTCGCCTGTGAAGATGTAGTTCTATTCTTTTTTCTCTTCCCCCCCAACAGCCCCTTCCACTCTCTTTTATCCCCTTATATTTGTTTTAAAAATTTATTTGCAGGGTTTGGAGTTTCAACAAAGGAAATGCAGTGTCATATTTGACCTATCCTGCAATCTTGCAAGGTTACTAGAGTTCTGTACCCGTGAGATTCCTCAAGCATTCCTGTCAGGTGCAGATACAAACCTACGAAGGCTCACTGAGTTGATTGTCTTTATTCTGAACCACATCACCTCAGCAGAGGATCCTGAGTTTTTTGAAGTGTAAGTTTCTCTATGAACTCACTCTTTCTTAGCTACTGATGTTTCAATTTCTTCTTTCGGCACTCTCTGACAATTATTCCTTAGTTCTTATGTTCTCCCATTTACAAATTTCGGGGTTCAAAACAATATTGATATCTTGCCAGTTATCAATTGGCATGTACATGTTTTGAGGGCTGCGGTATGTCCTTTTTATTGATATTATATTCCTTGCCTACAGGTCACTAAGGCGACATGGTCAATCACTGGAGAAAGTAAACAGAGGCCTGATTTTAGCACCTCTTACTGGCATTATCCTGAATTTGTTGGATGCTAGTGTGGAGACAGAATGCAGTAAGCAGAATGATGTTGTAGGGGTGTTTGCAAGTATGGACTGCCCTGCAACCGTTCTGTGTGGATTCCAGTATCTCTTAGACTACAATTGGGTTAGTATTTGTTCTCAACACACACATACACATATATATACGCTTACATATGGATGTTTAGCTTATGATTCGCACATCAAATGATATTTATTCCCAAACAATAATTTGAGTATAAGAATTGCTAATTCTTAGTTTCGCTAGACAAAAACACTTTTATTGCTAGCTTCAACCTGACATTTGTGTATGATAACTGTGGTTAATTTTTTTTCTCCTTTTACTGGGTAGTCTGGATTTGGGTTGAAGGATCCTGGCCTGCCTAGGGTTGGTTGGGTTGACACTGTTGTAATGTATGTTTATAGTATCAATATATCATATATTGAACATGGCATGTGGGTTTATGTGAATCTTGTAAGATACTGCAGTTTTACAATACAAATGATATTAGAAATTATGGCCTTGATTTGTTTAGAATGTTTATTATTGCACATTGGTTTGTTCAATTTTGTTGTGAAATTTAATTTGGTCACAATGTCCTCCTTTGTTTGTCTCTGTCTTTGTTTTTACTGGTTTTTGATGTTAGTTTACACTCCATTCTTCAATGCCAACCATTATCATAATTGTTTATTTGAGAAATATGAGCTATATTTGGACAAGGAATTCCTGCTCTTTTGTTTTTGGCTTGCTTTCTTCTGATGTGAAATTGTGAAATCATATCTGATGATGTACATATTTGGACAACCCTTATAATCTAAACTTCATGTTCACCATTCTTAACCACTTTTCTCAACCTTGTTATCAATTTGCCAGACTGGATCCTTCAGAGGGGATGCTTATCTTGCGAAACTGAGGCAACTGGAGCAACTCTCAACCCTCCTGATCAACCGAACTGAGTCAACTGAAGTTGAGAGGACGGGATGCCAGGGAGAAGCAGATGTTATTGATATCACATGCTGTATCTGTTATGCATGTGATGCAGATGCCCAATTTGTACCATGTTCCCACATGTCTTGTTTTGGGTGCATAACCCGGCATCTTCTTAATTGTGAGAGATGCTTCTTTTGCAATGCTACCGTGGTGGAAGTTGTCAGGACTGGTTCGAGGACAATTTAGATAATGTGGTTTTCTTTGCTTATTGCCTGAGTTGTCTTTTGTGGAGCTGGTTGGCGATCAACAGAGTCTGAGGCCTATGTCTGAAGCGTGTAGTTAGATTATCTAAAATTATATATAATTTCAGATGATAGAGAGAAGAAAAAGTGTTCAAAGAATTGCTTATTCTTAAAAAGCAGCAGCTAGCAACAGTTATATACATCAGTGTGGATGTGTTTGGGAGATAAATTGGCCAGGTTTACAAGAAACCTTGTTGTGGATTAATTGAAGAATTTTTGTAGGGGAAGCCGAGGGGCATTATTTTGTAAATATGAGATGTAAATGGAAGGGTTTTTTTGTTTTTGTTTTTGTTTTTGTTTTTGTTTTTGTTTTTGTTCTGTCTCGTGCGCGACCGCACGAATGTAAACCCCCATGCACATTAAAAAGAAGTTGAATTGCCTTTTATGGAGCTTGTTACTTTCAATTTTACTGAATATTACTGAAACCTGAAGGGATCTGTATATATGCTAGAAGACTTTAAACCAGTCATGATCTCAACCTGAATGTGTATGCTTCCATGTTAGCACTGTCATCAATTTGTTAATACTGATGCTTACTTTTGTTTGTGTGCTTTACTTAACTCTCACTTTTCAATGTGCTTGAGTGAAAATGTCTCTAATCCTTCATCAAGTTCATATTAGATGAAAAAATGGGGCTAAAAAAGTTTTAATCTCTTCATTAAAGATGTATTAAATCGAGGGAATCAAAGTCAGATGAACAAAATTCTTCGTCAAATTTTAATGTCGTGTATCATTTTTTTTATTTGGTTCAAATTTTGGAATAAGCCGAGTTTCATAATCTTAATCCTATCGTTTTTTATTAAATGTTTCAAATTTTGGAATAAACTGCGTTTCATAATTTTAAGGGAAAATTAATTTAAGGTCTTTTTCTTATTTTTAGTAATAGAAGAGATCTACAATATCATTTTATGATGTCTAAGGTCCTTCAACTCTAACACTCATATCACAGAGAAATTTGACTCAAATCAAACCTCATTTGCAAACTACCTAGAGCCAAGCTTGGCGTAAGAAGAAAGCTTCACGTCGAGATCGCCCTTGATCTTGTGAGCCTCTTTCCTCAATTTCTCCCAACCCAACTGCTGCAACAGCTCCATAGTCGGATTCAACATTAACTTTATTTGCTTTCATAACAGGTATGTTCTAACACATTTACATATGATGGTTTTTGAGTTGGTTAAGAACTCCTTGCAAACCATCTCCATGGAAGGATATGGTAAGTTAATTATTGTATTGTGTTGCACTGTACATAAATGCAAGGATCCCTAAATGTATCAAAATCAGCATTGTGCATATTAAGTGCCTCCATGACTGTTGTTGTCCTGTTTTTTTGAGTTTACCACAAAATGCTTGTTGTTATTGAACATCCAAAGTTAAAGTTACAATGTTTAGTTGATATCTTTGGACTTGTAGTAGGAATTTTCTCTGATCCACAATATTATTTTTCTGGGTTAGAAGGAATTTTCTCTGGGTTTTTGTGAATTTCGCTGGGTTTGAGGAAATTTTCTCTAGGCTTTTGTGAATTTTTCTGGGTTGGAAGAAATTTTTTCTGAGTTGGAAGGGAAAATTAAAAAATACCATTGTTGATAAGAGATTTTACAGATATCTATAGGTACTTTTTGAAATCTGTTTTAGAAAATCTCTTTATTTCTCTCTCTCAATTTACTTGATGGGTTGGGTTATTCTTCAACTCTTTTTCTATGGTGGTAATATATCATAATCTATGCTCTTTTTCAGATTCTCTACGAGAGAAATTTGGTGTTGGAGATGCATAAAGTTTCTCTGTGATGTGTCCAGAGAAATTTGAAATTTTCTTTGTGATGTGTCCAGAGAAATTTGGAATTTTCTCTATGATTTGTCCAAAGAAATTCTCTGGATCGAATTTTCTTTAGATTGATATTGAGGGACCTTAGACATTATGAAAATATTAAGTGTCCTTTATACTATAAAATCTTAATACCAGGGACCTTAAAAAAAAATCTCCTAATTTTAATCCTTCTATTTTTTTTTTTTTGGATTTTGTTATAGAGAAATTAGTCTAAGGTTCCTCTCCCATTTTGATAATGAAAGAGATCCACAATATTATTGTTTGGTGTCTAAGGTCCCTCACAGAGAAATTTGATATCTCTCTCCCACTATGCTTCTCTCTCTCTCTCTCTCTCTCTCTCTCGTCGATCTCAACTCCAGTTAACATCAAGAATCGTGGATAAGTTGGAGGTTTCTGGTTCTTTTGTTCCATTTCGGCAATCTCACCGTCCATGGTACTGGTCCAGTTATGTTGTCAGTCGATGATTCAAGCTCTTGTACAATAGAGTGAAGTGCCGATTAGTGTGGTCTGGTTTTGTGGTCTTTTGGTAGACGTCCAACCGGCTGTGCTTGATGTGTTCCTAAATGTTTTGTCTTGGGTTGAGTTGTAAGTATATTTGGTGCTTAGACAAGATGCTGAAAGTGTCTCGGGCAAGGCTTTTGCTGATTGGAGCTTCAATTGTTAAGATTGTAGGTTTAATGGTGAAGATCGTGGAAGGGATGCTTCGTATTTTTCTCTGGCACCGGTTTGTTGTTTAACAGTCTGAGCTGTGGCAATGCCTTGTTCAATTTTCTCTGGTATTTTTTTGAAGATGTATTCGGGAATTCCTCTGGATTACATAAAATAATATTGTGTCTTTATGATATAGAGAAAATTAGTTAAATTGAATCCAGAGAAATTTGAATGTTCTCTGGTTTATAAATAAACCCAGAGAAATTTGAATTTGAATTTGAACCCAAAGAAAATTGGTCAAAATGACTTTAGAGAAATTTGAATTTTCTCTATGATTCAGAAAAATTAGTTAAATGAACCCAGAGAAATTTGAATCTTCTTTGGTTTATAAATGAATCCAGAGAAATTTGAATTTGAATTTGAACCCAGAAAAAATTGGTCAAAATGAACCCAGAGAAATTTGAATTTTCTCTAGGTTGAACCCAGAGAAATTCTTTGGAAAATCCAGAATTTCTCTAGATTGAAATTTCTCTGGGTCAATGTTGAGGGACTTTAGATATTATGAAAATATTGAATATTCTTTATGCTATAAAATCTTAATATTAGGGACCCTAAAAAAAAAATCCTTTTGTTTTATGGGTTTAGTTTGGTAGTCAATATTTACTTCCAGCATTGGATATTTTGAATATACTAAGGCCTATTTTGAAAAATAATATTTTAATTAAAAAGTTGTCATTACAAAAATATCAACCATTGCCTCTATTTCTTTAAACATATTTTCGTATAAATCAATAAAAATTTAATTTTCAAACCAACTTTAAAGCAGTAGCGTGTATTTTTAAAAAGAAATGTCAAAAAAATAAAATTTATTTACAATGATAGAACAATAGAATTATTAGATACTACCTAATTAAGTTTATAATAAATAAAAAATTAACGCATAATTGGAGAAGTGTCCCTCAATCTTAAAATGTAATCGATAATAAATTGACAGAATTGAGATATCTTTCATCATTGCATATTTGTAATGAAAAGCATCATTTAATAATGAGAACCGTGTTAATTATCAAATAAAAAAGATAAATTAAAAAAATATTTTTAATTTTTTTTAAAAATATAGATTGTCTTTTTTAATTTTAAAAATTAGAAATGCTCCCAAATTAATTTTTTTTATTTAACAGAATTAATATAAAAAATAAAATTTATAAATACTCTTTTATATAACAATAAAATTATTTAAATTATTAATTAAAATATCATTATGAATTATTAATTAATTTAATAATTTATTAATAAAAAAACATTTATTATGTAATTAAAAATTTAAGAAAAATGTTATGCATTTTAAATATTCTATCAAATATTTTATCAAATTATGAGATTCACACCTATAAACTTAATATTTGATAAAATATTTAATAGAATATTTGGATCATTAACTCAAAATTTAAAGAGGTAGCCAAAAAAAAGTGTAGGGTTTCTTTCCTTTTGTTTGGATTGACAGAGTTAACCCGGTTGAGGTCGGAGATTACAAGGCAGAGAGAGAGAGAGAGAGAGAGAGGGAATGTTGAGTGCTGTGAAGTTGCAGGTATCATTATCGAAACTCAAAATTTAAGCCTTGTTTGTCATCTACTATATAATCCATCTTTTTATCTTTTTATCTTTTTTCCATCACATCACCTCTCTACTTTTCTGTACATCTTTTTGTAAAAAGACAAAAAATACACTTTTTTAGTACGCCCCAAACCAACACTTAAAGAGGTAGCCAAAAAAAAGTGTAGGGTTTCTTTCCTTTTGTTTGGATTGACAGAGTTAACCCGGTTGAGGTCGGAGATTACAAGGCAGAGAGAGAGAGAGAGAGAGAGAGGGAATGTTGAGTGCTGTGAAGTTGCAGGTATCATTATCGAGTCCTGCAATCAAATCAAACTCCGATCAAACCTTCGCCGCAAACTTCCCTTCTCGCCGCTCGCTCATTCTCCGCTTACCCGAACGCCGTTTGGCTTCTCTCTCTTTTCAATCCACCAATCATGCTTCATCTCACCCCTCCATTCCCTCTCATTTCACTTCCACCGTCGGATCTCTGTCCCCTTCGATTCACTCGAACCTCACTCAACGTCACATCCTAGTCCTCAATATCATCGCTTGCGCAGTACTCTCTCTCTCTCTCTCTCTCCCTCTGTGTGTGTTTAATTTAAGAAAATGAATACTTGAAGACTCAGTGAGTTTGCTTATTTTTACAGGTAGCAATTTCTGCAACTTGGCTCTTTTGCTCTGCAATACCAACTTTACTGGTTTGTAATCTTTAATTTCTGCCTCTACTATATATCCTAGTTTTTTTTTTTAACCACATCACTAATCAATTGTATTTGAAATTTGGGAGAAATTGAAGCTGAGGCTGGTCAAATTGGCCATTCCTTTGGCAACATGCTGTTTCTTTTGTTTAAGTATATTTGTTTCACAGTTTTTATTCAATTAATGTGGCTATTATGTGATCTGCTCAAGGCTTTCAAGAGAGCAGCAGAGTCACTAGAGAAGCTGTTAGATGTCACACGTGAAGAGCTGCCTGATACTATGGCCGCTGTCCGGTTATCTGGCATGGAGATCAGTGACCTAACAATGGAGCTCAGTGACATTGGGTAAGCATTATAAGCTCTATATTCTATGCTTACTATTCTTCAATCCTAAGTTTTTTACACCTTCAACGTTGGACTCCTCCTGCATCTGCCCGTGTTTTTCCCTTGTAAGACGATGCATAAGCCTCCAGGTGTTTGAATTTTGAATTTAGTAAATTAAAAATTTAATATAAATGTGTCATAACATTTTCCTCAAGGAGGCCAACATTTCACTATAGAGAAGGAAGTCTGCCCTCATCAAAGGTCGAATCGACATTCTTAGCTTTCGTTACCGAGCTTTTTGCTTGAGCCTTGGTTTTGTTTGTTTGTGTTTTTGGTTATATACTCGATTTTTTCCATCCAATATAGTTACAAATATTCTTCTTCTTCCTTTTAAAAAAAAAAAAAATGTATTAGACTTAGTTTAACAACCCAAGACAAGTTCTCCATATGTCTACTACTCGTATGCTTATGCCCAAAAGACGTCAATAACACACATGAGGCACATGCCTTAGACTTGATGTGCAAACCTTTGGGGAGGGTTGCCTAAAAATCAAAGCCTTGATGCGTTTTGCCTTAGCCTTGTATCAATATGAGCCTCTACAGCACATTTTTAAACTTTTCTTACATGGAACTCAGAAATTTCAAATAATGGAATCATTTTTTTTTGTTATGCAGCCAGGAGATAACTCAAGGTGTTAAAAGCTCCACTCGAGCTGTCCGCTCAGCTGAGGAGAAATTGCGCCGATTGACAAACATGTCTCCATCAGGTTATTGAAATTTATGGCTTTTTGTGCTTCCTTTTGAGCTTTGAAACTGATGCGGAGCAATGGATTTTACTTCCATCTTTACTTGATTAGCATCAGTGCAGGAGGTAGCCACTCTGGAATCTACGACGCAAGGACCGGTGGTAGCTAGAACTGCAAGGGGCATGAGGGATGCAATTGTTAAGGGTCGGGCAATCTTTCAATTGTTTTTCACTCTCACCAGGTTTTCTAGGATGGCCTTCAATTACTTTGGTTCTCGGGCTAAACCACAAGCTTCACGGTGAGGCAACATAAGATCTCTCTCTCTCTCTCAGTTGTAAATATTTTTTTCCTACTTGGGGGTTATCATTTGTGATTGAATTGTGGTTGAGTTTGAGTTTTTACAATGCACAATGTATTAGGCTACGAGACATTATAGACCTTTAATAAGAGGTCAAGGGATCTGGAGAAGAGAAACACTTCCCCATTTTTGTCCGGAATTTGAAAATTGGTTTCCTTTTTTGGTTAGGATTGTAATTACCATTACCTTCATCTCTGTGATTTACAAACTCCGAGATTATTTATTTTTGATGCTTACTTTTGTGTTCTGACAACTAAATGAAAGGCTAACTCCTGCTGGATGAACTTTCCCCCCTTTTGTTGTATAGGATTTAACAGCATTGGATTTGTGGAGTATGTTACAACACTTCAATTGATTTCTTCGAAAAAACCATAATGAATGAATGACCATACATGCAGGCATGGAAATGTATGTTCTTTGGGGTTGATCTTTATCTTCATTCTTGGGCAAAATATGCATTATGATGTCCTACAAATAATTGTATGATAGTTCATACCCCTGTTTTTTTTTTGCCTGTGGCATTTTGATTTTGTTGCCTAATGATAGTGCAAGTTTGGAATACATCTAGAACTTCGCCAATATGCTTGCATAATGTCACAATATGTTGGTCCCCATTGAGTAATTCTAATTCTCATTAATTCTATTTGTATTAGTAGGTCCTAAGACTACGTGCATCTCTGGTGCAGATGTTAAAATTGTTGTTTGAAGTGTACATCTAAGTGTAAGTGACACGAGAGAGAGGGTTTAAAATTGGGTACTCAAAAAATGGTGCTGTTGGAGTACTGGGTACTTACCGCGTGTTGATACGCGTACCAAGTACGCTAAATACATGCTGGGTACAGTAAATACGTTTGGATACGTCGTGGGTACGACAAGGTGATTTTTTTTGTTTTTGTTTTTGTTTTTTTTTTTGCAACTGTTAGAATTTGTTGCAACATTTATTATTCTTCTTTCAACTTCAAAAATCATTAAGTAATTTATTTCCAACACCCTTTACTCATGAGTCATGGTTTTGCTCTCTTTTGCATCTTGTTTTAGACAATCAAAAAAGAAAAAAAAAAGAGAAATATATAATTTTTTAGACGAGTTGTGTTATTTTTAGTTTTGATATTGAAATTTTAATTTGTATGTTGGATGTTTAGCTATGAATTTAAAAAAAAAAAAATTGACGTACCCCAACAGTACCCGTATCTTACTTTTTAAAGAATTTTCCATATCGACGTACTTGCACCTGTATTTGTACCCGCACCCATGCTTCATAGTAAACAACTAATTCCTAAGAACTTTCAAAATAAGGCATAACCAACCAAATAAGCAGCACCTTGACAGCAAATCCAAAATTCAAGACACATTTACAAATCCAAATCCATGTCAACACACACACACACACACACACACATATATATATATTTGCCCCATCTTAAATAGTACAAATCAAGGTTAGCTTTGACAGGCTCTTCTTCCTTCACAATAACATCATCTTTCACCTCAGCCATGGGAGATGACTCAACTACAGTTCCACAACAAGATTTTTGAGCACTCACAACCACAATGGCTTCTTTGTTGGTTGACTCTTTCTTGACATCTTCTTCTTTCTTGAGTGTAGCAGTTGTCATACACGGAGTTAAAACATACCTCCTTCCAGAACGGCAGCTCTCCTCTCCATTATCTTTCTTCTTGCAGCTTGCAGGACAAACTTGGGCACTTGGGGGAAAATGTCTCAAAATCTGATGCTAAAGGATTATGGTTACAACTATGCTAATTCATACTAGTATATAGGAGTTCGTTAATGAGGCTGGTCATATTCTTCTTCATTAATTAATTCTTAGTGTGTATCAATCTAGCGAGTAAAACATGTGCATACATAACAAGAAATGGGTGAAGTTGTTTAAGCTTGACTTTAAAACTTAATAAGTTTTTAATTGTGTTTAAGCTTGGCTTGTTTACATAAGGAGTCAATCTTGAACGAACTGAACAAGAGTCGGGTACGAGTAACTTGATTTTTATAGTATATATAAGTTTATCGAACTAAGTAGCAAGTTATTCAAGCTTGGTTTGAAAATTGAATGAGCATTAAAATGTGTTCAAATTTACCTTATTTACGTAACAAGCCGGTCCTGAAAGAGTTTTTCACGAGGCGAACATGAATTGGGCTTGAGTAGTTTAACAGCCCTATAAATTGAATTAGTGTTGTATGTAGTGTAGTCAATATGTTTGAACATGAATTGGGCTTGAGTAGTTTAACAGCCCTATAAATTGAATTAGTGTTGTATGTAGTGTAGTCAATATGTTTGTCAGCCTTCCCTTTTATATATTCCCAAAACCAATTTCTCCTATTCCCATTTGTTTTCTTGAAAAAGTATTTGTTTGGCAGGGAAATCATCACCAGCAACTGGTGCCTTTGTTTGTGTAGCTTATGGAACCCACTTCTATTTTTTTATTTTTTATTTTTAATTTTAAGAATATGTATAATAGTATTTAGTGCAATTCTAAGTATAACTTATGAGGTATAAATAGTTTAAATAAATTAATTAAAAAAAAAAATTAAGAATGATAGTCTAAATAACTTCGCATTCTGATTGTTAAATTTCAATTTGAGAAAAATTATAACCAAAACATGACTATTTGTCATGTCATAATTAAAGTGAGTGTGAACTTTACAATCTTCATTGCCAACTCATGTATTGATTTTATGTACATGCATATACCAATGCAAAGAAGGGGAATGAAAATGAGTAAATTGGGAGTTGGTTCATTATGTAGACAGCTAAGTTCAATTTCAGTATCAAATAGTGCAAGAAGAAAAAAATGGTAAGCAAAAAGATTCATAACAATATATATGTTTGAAAGGTTTCGATCAAAAATAGTGTGGCTTTGATCTTACTCATTTGAATGTGAACCTCCCTTTATTCATCCATTGAACATTTGCATAAAGTGTACATTTGAGATAAACATTATATTTTAAAGTATTACTAGAGATTCTAAATGAATTATCAACTATTCACTTTTAGACCTTGTTTGGCATGGGCTTAAAAAACTACTTTCTAGGATATATATGTATATTTTTTTCAGAAAGAAAAAACACTAGAAAAATAAATAAAAAAAACAAACAAATAGAAAAATATACCAGTACTTTTTACTTCTTAGTTAAATAATTAAAAAAACAAAGCTTATTTGTTTTGAAATGAAAAAACCAACTAGAACAACCAGAAGTCAACTTTCTCACTAACCCAAAAAAAACTTTTTTTAACAGTTACGTATCGTTTTTATTTATTTATAGATTTTCAAGAAGCAAAAGCGGAAAACCAACCAAAAAGCAATTGCCAAACTCCTAGTTAAATTTTCTTTACATTCTAATCTGGTGCCTTTTAAGTTTGATCCTGCTCAAATTTTAAGCAATGAGTGATGGGAATACTTCAATGAAAAAAGGGCTGGAATCGAGAGCTTAATTGCTGCAATTAGGGGGTGAAGGACGAAAATTTGAAAGAATAAAAGTGTAATTTATCCATTATAAAAATAGATTAAAAGATATGAAGTTAAAGCAAGAAAATGAAATTGCCTCTCTTCTAATATATGACTAAGCCATATCTCAATGTCTCGCAACAATTTAACACAATGCTTAAAAAACAGAGAAAAAGAAAGAATTGATTGGACTGATCTAATACATGCAATTCAAATTGTGAGTTCATTAATGCCACTGTTTAAAATACACTTCGACACTAACATGAGATTGTGGTGTTAGAGACGTACAATGGTTAAAAAAATACACATTTTATGTCTCTTCTAGGTTTCACCTTGGTTGGCTTAGCCCATCTGTCATCCAAAACCCAGTCTTCAATCTCATGCTCATCTGGTAATGGCATTAAAATCATCATCCTGCAAAACAACTAATTAAGCTAAGCACTTCAATTCAACAATACCACCTTAAACACCTTAAAAGACAAAGTCCTTGTACAACTTTCTAACTTGCACTTAATATGTGTGTGCATGAATAAGAATGGGAATGGGGCAGGTTCTGTTTGGTATAGGTTTTATCCTCCCCAGGTTTCGATCGAGTTTGTCTTTATTTTACTTTTCATCATCATCTATAACAAAAATCAAGTGCACATGAATCATTCTAAGCCATGTGGGCAACTCATTGAATGGAGCAATAACCCCACTTACATGCAGTTGACGAACATAGCTCTTTTTGATAAATGTTGAGTACCTCATGTCCCTAGTGCTTTTTTGACGTGGGATTTATATACCTTGTTAGTAAAGATCCCGCTTTTCTTGGTACTTCCCACATTGTTTAAACAACACATGATAGATTTTCCTAATTTATATAATATAAATGGGCCGAGGTAGCCAAAAACACGTCCCCGTCCCAAACCCAAAATGGGTTGACCTGTAAGTCCTGTCCCTACCCCAATTAGAAGAGTTCCATTCCAGTACCGCGAGTTAAGAGAGAGAAAGTAAGAGAGAAAGATGCATACATCATTGTTCTTTTCTGCGTCTCGTGTTGGAAGAATCTTTAGAAGGGGGATCCAACCCCAAACACTTGAGAAAAGCTTGTTTAGCTAACCCAAGATAGTGGCAAGGGTGGTAATAATGTTCCAAAACTGGGGCATGGGTTGTATCCTTCACAGAAGAGCTGCCCTCCTTCTCTTGAATCTCTTCTCTCCTTACTCTTCTTCTGCTTGTGCTTGTTTCTGTGTCACCTTTAATACCATGGCTCTCACCCACCTGCAACTATTATGAACTACTACATGGTTTGTGAACCATTCAATAAATAAAAACTGATTAAACTAGCAATACACACCTCATAGCCATTAAGCATACGAATAAAAACAATTGGAAATCAAAGGAAAGAAAAGCCACTCTTAAGTAAAACTTGTCTAGCCTATTTATAGCTTAAGAAAAATCTAATAACTCATAAAAACCTTGTAAAACTTTCCTACCCAACACAGTGTTTTAAAAGGATCTACGTGCACCGAGGCGATAAGGTCTCTTATAACCTAAGCGTGTGGTACGAGCTGAGGCATGCGCCTCACCAAACCAAAGCTAAGTGCAAGTAGTAGAAGAAAAGCAAAATTATAAAATAGGCTAACATTTCAACGTAAAAAATATTTATAGAATTTCAAAAATCATAACCATTTCTAATAATCTTTAAACATAACATTCAATGCTTTAAAAACTAGAAATATAGTATCCAACAAAAGATATAAAGCATAAAATTCAATCTTTTATCACTTTCTGCTCTCTTTTGACCATGTTTGGTCATTTTATATTGAAGAGTTTTGAATCCCTGTAGGTATGTCTACAAAAAAAGCACTTAATCAACAATTGGAGTAGAAAAATAGGTAAAGCCCATGAAACCCACGCCTAGCGCCTCGAAAAAAAGCCCTCGCCTCAACGTTGCCTTGCGTATTGCGCCTCGCCTTGACTTGTTCAAAGTGCAAGGCTGCGCCTCATTGAGCTTCGTGCTTAGGCGCGCGCCTTGTAAAACACCGACATAGATACATAATTGAACTTAAATCCTATCAATAAAGCCACTAAAAAGTCTTAAAAGGAAAAACCTTTAATGGAACTAAAATCCTATCACTAAATTCACTAAAAAGTCCTAAAATCTTGTAAAACTTCTTTGCTCCAACTGTCATTGGTCATTTGCCGACTTTGATGCAACAAAGAATAATCTCCAACATTTCATTGCTTTCTTCAAATATTTCATGAACAATATTACAGCAATGTCCATTAAACTAATTAAAAGTTGTCATTCATCAAATTGACTAAGACCATGTTAAAAACCCCAAATCAGATGTTGAATGAAATGAATTATAATAACCTCTTGGGTTTTATAGCAATAAATAATGGGTTTGCTAGTTTCATAACCTTATGCAGGAAGAGATGTTTCAGTAATAGGAAAAGTTTGCCACTTGAAGACAATTTTGCCTGGGGACAAAACAAAATTTGAAAATGATAGGAACTTTTAACTATAATTTGGTGTCAAATGGGGTAAATGGGGTAGTAAACAACAATATAGATAATAATAAGAAATTAAGTAAAGATCAAGAAACAAAATGTCCAGTCTTGAGGAATAAATACCCAGAAAGGACAGAAAGGGCTTCTTCCTGTGAAGACCAAATTGTCCCTACACAGAGGATAAAATCCCATACCCAAGAAGATTAACCGATCTAACAAATACCAAGTCCAAACAAATGGTACTCTCACCCAATTTCTATATGTTTATTTTAATTAAAACAATTGTTGCTGACCACAACAGAACAAATATGTTAATATTATCTTCCACTGACCACTCCAAGCTGTCATACCAGTATTTGTTCTGTTGTGGTCAGCAACAATTGTTTTAATTAAAATAACCCCCCCCGCGATTTTTATCCCCTAACAATAATGCTAACCTAACCAAATTTGGGTCCCGAATTTTGGATGCCAATTTTATGAGAAATTAGATAAATTGTATCTGGTTGGCCTTTCAAAATTCCCCCATAATAAAAGCCCAAAAGGTACAAATAGAATTTCATGTTTCCACCATTCTTCCATTCACAATCGAATTCTTTTCTAACTTTCGGTCATTTGCGCAAATACAAAGACCAATATTCTTGCCATATTTTCTTTAGTATTTGTTTTTAAATTAGATTCATTTTTTAATTTTACTTTTAGGGCATCTTAAGAGTAAAAAATTTACTAAAAATAGAAAAAAAAGGACACAAATATTTGCCAAACCAAGCTACCTACTACATTTCATCTTTCAGAGTGAGAATGAAGGCTAATTTGTCAACAAGGAAGTGCTTGCCTTTGCAACAAAGTGGTGCCAACCTTTATCTCTACTCAAACAAAGGGACCCCACTAAATACAATATAATACAATAAGTATATGAAAAATGCAAGGAACCTACCCTTACAGACCCCAAATTTATCTTTGAATGTGTTTGTGTGATGGAGATTGAATTGATGAAATGTGGTGTCTACATATGAAATGAATTTGAGTCATTGATTTTTTTTTTTGGATAAATTCTGGATTGATGGGGGTGAGTTTTTAGTATTGTTGTTTTAAGAATTCAATAAAGTGAGAACTAGTGAAACTTACGAGTAGTATTTAATATATACATATATATATATACTCTATTATAGAAAACTTACAAACCGGTGAATTTTTGTCACAACTTTTTCATTCCCAAATTGCCATGCAATTGCTTTATTTCTTTATTTTAAATTTCAAATTTCAAAGTTTTATAACTTCTTTGGTTTTCAATTCAGTATAAATCAACGGATTGACTTTTACAGCACACCATCTAGAATATATACATAAACAACCGTCCAACTTGGATTAAAATAATATATGAAGACATTCTCAACTTTCCCTTCTTCAACGCGCTTTTAGCTTTGCAATCGAAGAATTGAATTAACATGATGATGATGTGTTGAATTGAATCTACGATCATATGATAACTAAATCAATATTCAAACTCACATAAACAATTTGGTAAAATTTATTTGATGGAATGTTATTTTCGTTGAGTCTCTCTCAAACACTGCCAATTAAAAAAAAAAAAAAAAACATAAAACAATTCTTGTTCCCAAATTTTCTCGGCAACCAAACAGCACAGATGGAAGAAACCAAGGGAAAAAAAGACCAACCCAGAAAACAAGAAGACATGGAGAGAAATGGGTAAGTGATAACACACCTTGGAATTGTGTAATCGGCTTGAACTGGCGGCGGCGGCGCTGGGCGGCGGTCGGAGAGTAAAGGATCCGTTATTGGAGACGAGGAGAGCGGAGGAGAGCGGAGCTGCGGCGGAGGTGGGAGAGGGATCTAGTCCTAAAGCGATGATGGTGAAGTAATAGAGGAAAATGATGAGGAGGAGCATCACAAGAAGTTGGATCCATATGAGCCATGGTATTCTCTGACTTCCAATTATGAGTTCGTCCCCAAAATCAAACATAGCAAGATATATAGTTTTAGAGAGAGAGAGAGAGAGAGGTAGGAGATGCAAAAGGATGAAGAATGGTAGGTGAGAATCCGAAAAGTATAAATGAATAGAGTGAGAGAGAGAGAGAGAGAATTGACGGCGAAGGACCCTGGTTCTGTGTTGTAAAAGTCGGTGAAAAAAGGGAAAATAATTCATCATGGTTTCTCCCTGTTTTAGACCATTTGCAAACGCATATTTTATTAAATTTAAATGTGATAAAAAACGATAACTATTTAATTTATAAATTTTTTATTAAATACATATCAAATAAGGGATGAAATAAAATTTTTAACAAATAAAGTGAGTTTTTTTTTTATCTTTGATTAAATTTAAATTGTTTTCGTTGGATCGGACATCTTTTCAATTCGAATATTCACCCAAGAGCAACTCTGATAGTCTTTTTTGTTTTTGTCCGGACGATCTCCAAGACATCTGCTTCGATGTTCTCTTCAACAACCAAAAATATGAAAAAATTTGATAATTCTAATTATAGTATTAGAATAAATGATATCAAATTAAATTTTTCATCAAATTTTTATTAAAATTTGGTAAATTTTTTGATTCAACGTTGCTGGTGCACTTATATAGATAGATCTGAAGTTAAGAGGTCAACCAAGTTCAATTTTAGAAGTACAACAAATTTGGATTGGGTTTGCTATGTGACTAAAATATATAATAAAAAGGGTAAATTATAAATATATTGTTTGAGATTTGTTTAAAATACAGATTATTTTTTGTGATTTGCAAATTATAAATATTTCTTTGTTAGAATTTTTAATTTAACGGAATTAACTAAAAAAATAAAATTAATAATTTCTCTTCTATATAATGATAAAATTACATAAATTATTAATTGAAACATATTTATAATATTATTAAAAATTATTAATTGACTTAATAATTTATTAATAAAATGAGCGATTTGTTATTAAGTTAAAAATCCCAACGGATGGAATATAATTTTTAAAATTACATGAGTGATTTAAAAATTTAAATATTAAAATAAAAGGATAAAAAAAAATCACTATGTTTGATTTTATTTTTTTTTAAATTGAGTTTTTTATTTTCGTATTTCTTTATTTTTAGTGAATATTTTTTAAATTTTAAGTAATTTTTTTTACTTTTTAGATGCACCTTACTTAGATGTATTAGGTAAAATATTTGTGAAAAAATATTTAAAAAATTAATTAATATACAAGAATACGAAAATGTATTGAATTTTTATTTTTTTAATATATTTTTGGTATTTAGTAATTTCTTATAGACTTTTTTCAAAAATATTATAATTTTTAAGTGTATTTATGTTTGGTATATCTAAAAATTAAAAAAATTCTTAAAACATTTAAAAAATTCAGTGAAAATAAAAAAATACGAAAAATAAAAATTTCAATTTTTTGAAAAGTGAATCTTGAAAATCCAAACTAAAGAAGCTTTAATTTTTACAATTTTTTTGATAAGAAGTTAAAAAATTATTCTTAAACACTTTAATTTTTTTTTCCCCTTATTTTAATTTAAAAAAATTCAAAAGTTACCAAAACAAAAAGTTACTTCTCAACAAACCTCAGAGTTTTGATTTTTATAAATGCTAATGTAGCTCCCCAATATATGTATATATATAATTTGAATACATTTGTTACATTTCATACATTTGTTATAATTTGACTACATTTGTTATAATTTATTTTAATTTGATAATTTATATCAGATTGTTTGGTATACCTTTTACTTAAATTAAAAAAATTTAATTATTTAAAAGTTAAAAAACAGTTATTTTAACTTATATTTTCTGATCAAATAAACTGTACCAAATATGACCATAATGTAAATTTAAATTTGAAGTGTGATGATAAATTTAAATTTGATGTTAGCAAAACTTATATTTGAATTTTTTTTGAACGAAACTTATATTTGAATTTGATAAACATATTAAAAATTCTGAACACTTAAATACATACCATTGTTATAACATCGCTGTTTGATTTGTGACTGCTTTGGTGGTAAACATCCATAAAAAAAAACAAAGGTCAACCTAATGACAACTGATAGCCTTGTCTGTTGTATTGTATACTTTTCATACATACATAGTTGTATACTTTTTACCTGAGATTCATGATTAGCTACATATTAGCAGATCATTAACATTTCTCATAAAAGTTTAGTTAAGAAAACATCATTTTTTTTTTTTTTTTTTTATCAGCTATCCACAATAAAATTGGAGCCCTTTCGTCATCATAATATGGACCCCATTCTCATTGTGAATGAGAAAATCATTAATTCACAAAATTTAGTTAGTCTACAACAGTGAGCCCCTTATTCAAAAATATATTTACCCCACCTAAAGATGCGAATTGCATTATTTTGGATCAATGAAAATTTTGTGAATAAAATCGAACTCCATGAATAGACAATAAATAGTAGTAGTAGTCTTTGCAATTTATTACTCATGTTAATTTGGTTTATATATATAGTTTCAATTATAATATTTTTCGCCTTTAATTTTACAGTTCGTGTATAATTGATTAAATTTTGAACAACTACCGTGACTTTTTTTTTTTAATTTATGAAAAATGATAATTTGTTTTGTGTCCATTGTATATGGGCAAAATGAAGAAATAAATGAAAGGAACAGGCATCTTTTTGGTCCATTTTGTCGAACAGTTCTATTGGATAGCTCTAATTTTTGGTGCCCCAAATGGTCCGAATGTGTGGACATCCCATTTTGTAGTCTTTGGGTTAGATCCTTCACCCACTCGTGAAATCCATGCATTTACAAAACAAACAAAGAGCGAAGAGAAGAGAGAGAGAGAGAGAGTGCTAGAATAATGAGACACTCAGAAATCAATCACACAAGATATTTACGTGATTCGACAATTGTCTACGTCCACAGAAAGCGATGTATTATTCCGGAGTTGAGATTACAGAACTTACTCCTCTCTCTCTCTCTCTCTCTCACACACACACACACTATATCTGTGCTCACTCTATTAAACTCTCCCCTCAGCCTCTCCATTTATACACTGAAAAGAAGGTGGAGAGGTTGGCTGGCACAACACATGGCGAGCTCCTTCTCCATATGGCCAGCACCTTCCACATGGCCAGCTCCTGCCACATGAGAAATGATCACTCCTCACATGGGGTGATCTCCAACAAATCACCCCCTCAATCCATGTGAGGTGATCCATAATAGCACCCCCTACCTAGAGTGCCTTGCACCCCTTCACTGGGGTGCTATGCAAAGCTTACTTTGCAACTCTTTATGATTGCATCTCTCCGTTCCATGCAGCCTTGAAGAGATCGCAATATGTCTCTAATTCAGGAGCAAAAGAAACTATTTTCTTCCCTGAGACACGCTTTGCTGTCTTGGTCTCTTTGCTTTGAGCTTTCTTCAAAATTGGCTGCAATGGCTCCGTTTTGTGCACCTTCGAACTGCCTTCATGTGGTCTTGTACACTTTGGTTGCCATGTCTGCTGAGCCTTATGTCTTTTCGGTGCGTGTCTTGTACTTCTTTCCTGGTAAGTGACAGTAGCTCTTTCTGTCACAACCTCTTCAACAAGTGTGTACAGATTTCCCTCTAGTTGTCCATGCAGCATCACTCCATGGATAACTTTGAGATTTCCTTTACTAGATGAGAAGCTGCAACCCTTCAAGTTTAGCATACTTTAGGAAATTAGATTCTTCCTTAGTTTCGGCACATGTCGGACTTCATCCAACGTGAAAATATCTCCATCTTCCATTCGAAGCCGTACTATTCTCGTGCCAACAATCTTACTCACAGTGTTGTTAGCCATACGGACAATACCTCCATCCTTTGCTTGGTAGGTGGAAAAAAGTTTCCTGTCCATGCATATATGGTATGTACTTCCAGAATCTAAAATCTAATACGGTTTCATCATACTCGACGAAACTGTGAGTGCATACTCATCCTCAGCATTTACTACAGTAGCGACATTTGATGAGCTCCCATGTTCCTTGTTTGCGTTGTCCGTCTTGAGCTTTGCACAGTCTTTAATGAGGTGATCCTCCTGATCACAGTAATAGCACTTTCTCTTGTAGCCTGGCCTTGATTGCGAACGTCCTGTTGATTTGTATTTATCTCGTTTATCATTGGACCTGCCTCTACCTTGCTTATTTTTTGATGCAACCATGGCATTTCCTTCTAGGTGCTTGCTACTTTCCTTTTTCTTCATCGCCTCATGAGAAATGAGCATAGTAATCACCTTATCTAGTCCAAGTGTATCCTTCCCGTACAATAGAGTAGTCCTGAGATGCTCATATGATGAAGGTAAGGAGACCAGCAAGATAATAGCCTTATCTTCCTCCTCGGTCTTCACCCCAATAGTATCCAACTCCATTATAAGCCTGTTGAACTCGTCTAGATATTCTGTAAGGTTCGCTCCTTCTAGCATTTGAAGTGTGTGCAGCTGCTTCTTCAAAGATAACCAATTTGTTAAAGACTTTGACTTGTACCTCATTTCTAACTTTGCCCATAGCTCTGTCGGATCTTCTTCATTGATGACTTCTCGGAGTGTGTTATTCTCGAGATATAACTGGATCGTGCTATTTGCCAATTCTCTCAACTTCTCTCACTTGTCATCTCTCATTCCTTCCGGTTTGTTGGACTTTTTGTTGAGAGCTTTCACGAAGCCCTCCCGCGTTAAAATATTTTTTACTCTTTGTCGCTACAAAGTAAAGTCATTATTACCATTAAAAGGCTCTATCATGAAACTTACACATTTTCCCGCCATTTTGATCTTATTTCTTTTTACATAAATTCTGATTCAAAAAATTTGATTGTACGGATGTGTCCAGAATACTTCAAATAGTTGGAAAGCACTATTGGATCGTTAGAAACGGACTCCGAATGACTCAGATCAAGCCAAAATAGTTTGGACGCCTCAGATCTACGGCTGTACCTTAGTCGCGTAGCCCTGGATAATTCCTTCGTGTGCTGACGTGGCGCTAATTGGGCTGACGTGCCAGCTGACAGGGCTGCCACATGGCGCTGACGTGGATGCCACGTGGCGTTGATGTGTTAGCTATGTGCACGCTGAGCTGGCATGTGACGTGGTGGTGACGTCATTCACACGTGTGTGCCACTCACCTT